ACTCATCACAGCTACCAAGCTGACCAATCACAGAGCTTGTGTTACGCGACATGTAGTTGCATCTTTTAATAGGTGCGCATTAGCATCAGCCACGACAAGAGGTCTGCGACCATGCAAAGGCTGCGCTGTATCATATGCGTACGCTTGACGCAGAAGTATAAATCAACCTAAACCTGACAAAACGCTGGCTAATCTTTCCTTGTTAAGGCTCATTTAAACTTCTGCGTCGCGTGATCAGCGTGATCCACAGTGCCTGCCTTGCGTTCAGTCGTTCATTTAAAATTCTGTACGCTGTTTGTGTTGCTCTGACATCAAACTTCCAAAACTTTAGCTGGCAGAAGGTTTTTAAGTTCCTCGTTGTCGAGTTTCTTCGCTGGTGTTTTGTTTATTTTGAATGCTACCGAATGCTCTGAATGCTTAATGTACAAGTAGCTAAAATTCGCTCATTCGGAGGCGGGAACCGGCGGAGTGACGTGCGATAACATTAATCATAAGGTAAACACAAAACAAACATTTCCATGTGGAGCTGCTTGACGGGACTTGACACTTGTAAACACTCGCTCCAACGGGTTTATGCGGCTCTTAGTACTGCCCACACTGGTCACAGCTACCAAGCCGACCAATCACAGAGCTTGCTCTACGCATCGGAGTGACGTGTAGTTACTTTATTTTTGAGGTGTGCATCAGCGTTGGCGTCAGCCACAGGGAGGGCTTTGCGACCGCGTTTAGACTGCCCCGGAGCATACACGTGCACTTGACGCAGAAGTATAAATCAGCCTTTAGATTACAGTTTGCCTAACTGTTTACAGTTGTTCAAGTCAGCAGAATTTAGAATTATCCAAAATTTGACTATTAATATTGACGGGAAAAAAAAGACGAACTGTCAATAAATAATAAAGGGAGCAAAACATCATGTACCAATGTCCAGCAATTAATTTCAAGCCTAAAATGATATCCGTTTACATAAATCAAATAAACGACTAACAAACAATAATTTCAAACAATGACAAATAAATTCACTATAAAAATAAAAATAAGGGGGAAAAAGCACTGAGATGGGTAAAAATCAAAGGTGCTATTTTTGTCAGCATGACATCATCATCATCATCATGCTGAAATTCAAATTCGATCCCTAATAACAAACGGTTCGTACATTCGAAAGCCTAAAACATTTAACACACTACGAATTATTCATAGAGCTAAAAAAAAAAAAAGGATTAGTTCTATACAAGACCCACAAAAGGCATTCGGTTACATTGTTTGATCTCTAATGCCCTTTGAAATCAACCAATCCAATCACAGGCTTGTTCGCAGGAGGGTAAAAGCTATGCCAGCCTGACCTCAGATCAGTGAACGTTGACAAACTGCTGGATTGATGAGTCATTGAAATATAACTGATCACATGAACACCAACCAAGTGATCTAATACATACAAAAATATAATATTAATATTGATAATATTATATAAATAAAACAAATAATAATAATAATAATCGGTGAAATGACCACCTATATGGTTTTTTTAATTACCGATTACAAAAACACATGGAAATGTACGTGAATAATATAAATAATCCAACTGTTTCCGGATAGCTCCACAATCGGTTTTTGCGGAGAGATTGATGGTTAAGCTAAAACCTGAACCTTGTTGAATCTAAAACTAGTCATAAATAGACCTGAGAATGGAATGTGACAGAATGAATCCTGATCCTGAGAGAATGAATCAAGCACCAGTGCTTAAAGTGACACTTCACCCAATAATGTACAAGCACGCATACACTGTAAAAAAAAAAAAAAAAAAAAAATTTATATATATATATATATATATATATGTGTATATATATATATATATATATATATATATATATATATATATATATATACATACATACATACATATCTATATATATATATATATATATATATATATATATATATATATATATATATATATATATATATATATATTTACTCAACTTTCATCCCACATACTGCACTTGACTCGAATCAAGTTGAATCAACTAAAAAAGCTCTGCAGCAAGTTGCCTTACGATTTTAAGTTGAGTCAACATTTGTTTTTGTTTTTTTACAGTGTGGTTATGAAAAAATAACGAAGAGACCACTTGAAAATGATCCGTTTGTCTTGAATTATTAACTAAGGGTTTGAGATGCTATTATTTGTTTGATTCTATAATAGTGTGAACATATTTCTTCTAAATTTCATATTGTCATGCAAGGTTTTTTTTCAGAAAATAAAAGGTCAGAATAAATATTTTCATTTATTGTAATTGAAAAAAATGTTGTTATTCCATCAGATATTGAAGGTAAAACACTGATATTGTGTGGTCTAAAAAGAAATGAACATTTCATGTCTTTATGCAAAAAATAAATAAAAGTTCTAAGTGACATTTTGAATTTTAATTTGGGAAATATTTAATCAGTAGTCTACAGCAGTGTTTCTCAACCACGTTCCTAAAGGACCACCAACACTGCATGTTTCCGATGTCTCCTTTGTCTGTCACACCCATTACATGTCTTTCAGTCTCTGCTCCAAGCTGATGATCTGTGTTTGGTTAAGAAGACATGAAAAATGTGCAAAGCTGGTGGTCCTCCAGGAGTGTGGTTGAGAAACACTGGTCCACAGAATAAAAAAGTAGCCAAACAGATAACTATCTGGACTGGACATTTTCAACTGGTCTCCTCATATTTTTACATAGCAGCGTTTTGGCTTCCATTATAAAGGTTTTTGTAAAGTCATTTTGGGTGAATTGTGCCTTTGACTGTGTGAATGTGTTGTAGAACTACAGTGGCTGTCTAAAACGTCTCATCCAAAAACTTCTATCTGGTTTCACCAGGTTCATTTCTGAAGCAGCTTCCTTCCTTCCCTCCACTTTTTCACCATTTGCTAAACACAAAAGGCACTTAATGGTCTACAGAGACCCATTTAGCAGATAATACAGTTTGATACACATATTGTGTTGATCTGTGCAGACAATTAAGAGATAGTTTCACCCCCCAAAATTAACAATTGCTTTAAATTTATTTACCTTCAGGTCACCCAAGATCAGTGGTGGAGGCAAGGGGGTAGTTGAAGACAAAAAATAAATAAATAAATACATTTTAAAAAGGGGGTGGGGTGTGGGGGGTTGTGAATCAGACGAAAGTGAAGAAGTGAAGAGGAGGTGGCAGTGTAGTAGTAGAAAAAAGTAGGGGGGGGGTGGTAGTTGCAGACGAAACTGAAAAGCAGAGGTGTAGTTGCAAACAAAAGTGAAGGGGGGGTACTTGCAGACAAAAAAAGCGGAAGGTAGTTGCAGACAAAAGTGAGGGGGGATGGCAGTGTAATAGTGGACAAAAGTAAAGAGGGGGTGTAGTTTCAGATGAAAATTAAAAGTAGAGGGTAGTTGCAGACAAAAGTAAAGGGGGTGGCAGTGTAGTAGTGGACAAAAGTAAACAGAGGGGGTAGTTGCAGACAAAACTGAAAAGTGGAAGGGTAGTCACAGACAAAAGTAAAGGGGGCGTACTTGCAGACAAAAAAAGTGGAGGGTAATTGCAGACAAAAGTGAAGGGGGGGATGACAGTGTAGTAGTGGACAAAAGTGAAGATAGGGGTAGTTGCAGATGAAACTGAAAAGTGGAGGGTAGTTGCAGACAAAAGAGGGGGGGGCAGTGTAGTAGTGGACAAAAGTAAAGAGGGGTGGGGGTAGTTTAAGATGAAAAAAAAACGCAGAGGGTAGTCACAGACAAAAGTAAAGGGGGTGGCAGTGTAGTAGTGGACGAAATTGAAGAGAGGGATAGATGCTGATGAAACTAAAAAGTGAAAGGGTAGTCGCAGACAAAAGTGAAGGGGGGGTGGTTGTGTAGTAGTGAACAAAATTGAAGAGAGGTGGGGTAGTTGCAGACAAAACTGAAAAAAGGAGGTAGTCGCAGACAATAGTCAAGGAGGGTAGCAGTAGAGTCGCTGATGAAAGTGATGAGGGGGGTGGTGGTGGAGTCGCAGACAAAAATAAACAAGGGTGGTGATGGCCCTGGAGTCCCGGACAAAGTGAAGAGCGAAGGGGGGTTGGGGGAGTCAGACGAAAATGATAGAGGGGACAGGTGACGGTGTAGATGTGGACAAAAGTGAATGATGAGTGGGGGTGGGTTTAGTAGACAGGAATGAAATAATAAGCGGAAGGGGGCAAAGGGAGAGGGTTGGGATTTGTTGCGGATGAAAGTGATGAGTGGGGGGTGGGGTTAGAAGTTGGGAATGAAAGAAAAGAGTGGGAAGGGGGAGGAGGTTGCGGTTGGTCGCAGACGAAAGTGATGAGTGGGAATAGGGTTAGTAGTTGGGGATGAAAGTAAAGAGTGTTGGGAGGGAGGGGGTTGGGGTTAGTCGCGGACGAAAGTGATGAGTGGGGATGGGGTTAGTAGTTGGGGATAAAAGTAAAGAGTGTTGGGAGGGAGGGGGTTGGGGTTAGTCGCGGACGAAAGTGATGAGTGGGGATGGGGTTAGTAGTTGGGGATGAAAGTAAAGAGTGTTGGGAGGGAGGGGGTTGGGGTTAGTCGCGGACGAAAGTGATGAGTGGGGATGGGGTTAGTAGTTGGGGATGAAAGTAAAGAGTGTTGGGAGGGAGGGGGTTGGGGTTAGTCGCGGACGAAAGTGATGAGTGGGGATGGGGTTAGTAGTTGGGGATAAAAGTAAAGAGTGTTGGGAGGGAGGGGGTTGGGGTTAGTCACGGACGAAAGTGATGAGTGGGGATGGGGTTAGAGGTTGGGGCTGATGTTTGGCAAAAAAGAAGATATTTGAAAGGTTGTAAACTTGTAACCATTGACTTCAATGGTATTTATTTCCACCTACCACAGAAGTCCATAATTACACGTTTTGAGCTTACTTCAAAATATCTGCTTTACTACTTTAGTAGAAAGAGTGGTTCCATTTAGAACCATTTGATGGCGAGTAAATAGTAAGCAAATAATAATTTTTGGGTGAACTGTCCCTTTAAAAGTGAAATGGAAGGATGTAGCATAGTGTGTTTATACAATAAAGGACCTGGAATTACAGGATAACACATTACTCTCCGAGCCTCGAACGAATCTCACAACCTGACCTCCAAACCTAACACTCTCCAACTCTATACAGCTACTTTTACTAGACTTTCAGCTACTCTCTCATACACAGATTTCTATAACCAATCTTATTTCTGCTCTAAAGCAAACCCTAAAGTCAACATGCGACCATCCTTTCAACTACGTCTCGGCACTAAATCCCTGAAGGCAGGGTGCAGACTGTTTGGTTTACATCGACAATGTTTTCTACAACAACCTACACCTTCAAGTTCACTAAAATTAAGGGTAACATTTTAAAATGAGGGTCTATTAGTTAAGATCAATGTATTAACAAACATAAACATGAACAATAATCACAGCATTTAATAAGTTCAACATTTACTAATGCATCCAAAGTCATAAGCACAAGAACTATTTTCAGTAAATAGCATTAGCAAAGATGAATAAATACTGCAATACACTTATTGTTCAATGTTTGTTTAGGTTAGTAAATACATTATAACTAATAAACCACTATTTTAAAGTGTCACCAAATTAAGACAAAAGCCAACAAATAAAAATGTCAACAATCAACACTGACATTTCAAAATAAGTGAACAGGATGTGGAACTCATAGTAATGATACAAAAACAATTACACTATAACATTGTTGCTAAATAGTGCTTCAGAACATTAAATAAAGCACTATAACTCTGCGTGTTCATAGTTATGCAGTCTTCAACCCCCCCCAAAACCCCCCTAAAATGCGTATCAAACTGCAGTAATCCTCATGAATCCGTCCTGATCGGCGAAAGTGTGAATTGAAAGCGATTACATATTAAGAGGTTCCGTTCAACGGGCCTGAACTTGCAGTAGTCGCTGTTCTGCTTGTAATTCCTCAATCCTGTTTGGGTCCAATGTTAAATCCATCTTCATGGCAGTGATGTGCTGCTAAAACTTAGTACATGTAGACTTGCGTTCATGAGAACAGATGATCTCTGGCAGTGTGGTGAACTGAACAAAGCCCAGACGAGCAGCTTCTGATCCTGTGCGGATGATTAGTAGGCAGCATCTGGTTGGGTGGCAGTAGTGAGGGCGAAAGGAAAACCTGACGGACCGATATTTTTGCGACGGTGATTTGTTAAAAGCAGCATGTGACGGCGTTTTGCTGTGGAAGACGAGTTTGTTTGTGTGGCGGCAGGTGTTTTAGGCGGCTCTCTCCTCCAGGGAGGGCTTTTTGCTGGGGAAGGGCTGAGCGTACAGGCTCTTGCTGGTGCTGTCCAGACTCTGGAAGTACAGGTGAGACAGTGCATCGTAAGCTGATATCCTTCTGGAGGGGTTGAAGGACAGGAAACGCTGTGTGTTGAGAGAGATGAGAAGAATAAATGACTATTGCATGGGATATTTGTCATATTATTGATATTGATATTATTGTAGTTGTTGGTTTAATAGTGTTGTCTTGTGTGAGATAACAGTATTAAGTATTATAAGAAGCATTTTCTAGACAAGTAATACATCTTTTATATTTATTCCAAGAAGTAGTGACCTGGTGATTGGATTGCATTGCAATGCATAAAATAAAATACTTCACTTTTAAAGGATAACTGCTTTAACTAAAATAAATTAAATAAAATAAAAAGGGTAGTATTTTATTTTCTATGTATTTTAAAGCATAACTGCATGAAATAAAATAGAAATAATTAAAAAATAATTAAAAATAAAATAAATAAATAAAAATAAATATTAAATAAATAAATACAATAAAATATTACCCATTTCAATGCATAACTGCATAAAATAAAATAAAATAAAGTGATTAAAATGTAAAATAAAATACTACCTTTTTAAGGCATAACTGCATAAAATAAAATAAAATAAAGTAATTAAAATTTAAAATAAAATAATACCTTTTTAAGGCATAACTGCATAAAATAAAATAAAAACTAAAATAAAATAATATCCCTTTTAAGGCGTAACTGCATAAAATAAAATAAAAAAAATAAAACAAAATAAAACCCTTTTTAAGGCATAACAGCATACAATAAAAAAAATTAAATAAATAAATAAAATACAACCACTTTAATGAATAACGGCATAAAATAAAATAATTAAAATTAAAAAAATAAAATAAAATATTACCCTTTTAAAGGCATAACTGCATAAAAAAACTATAAAAATAAAATGAAAAAAATTTAAATAAAATACTACCATTTTTAATGCAGAATTGCATTGGATTGCATTGATTGCAATGGATAAAATAAAATACTTCCCTTTTGAAGGCATAACTGCATAAAATAAAATAACAAACAAATATTAATTTGGTTTACAGCACAATTTACTTGACATATTCCTTAACCTTTATAAAAGCAGAGAAGACTCTCTGTGGGTAATAATCTCATATGATAATCATCTAAAAAGATTGTTAAGCATTTAGAGATATAACATTGATATGAACTCACAAGTAGGAGTGATTTGCCGAGCTCATCCATGTCCGGCACCAGGTTCTCTATGGGCTGTGCAGGGCGAGGAGAGAAGGCACTCTGGGGCAAACCCACCTCCTGTGGCCAGTCCTCTGGAGACGGGACTCCCACCACACTGACACAACAAAAACAATACAATACAATCAGATGCTAACATCTTCAACATAACATAGCATAACATAACATAATATAATATAATATAACATAACATAGCATAACATAGCATAACATAACATAACATAACATAACATAACATAACATAACATAACATAACATAACATAACATAACAGCACTTACTCAAAAATCTTGCCTAGCTGGTCAACATCAGAGTTCCCACGGAAAAGAGGGCTGGAGAATAAAAAAAATATTGATAACTATTAATAATGCATTTGATTTATACAGTGTTTCCTTACAGCCAAAATGGTAAATCAAGTGTAATACTAAGGGGGAAAAACATTAACATTAACAATAAAAGTAAAACAACAGTACAAATACCTAAGATGAAAACACCATCATAAAAAAATTCTAATAAAAATTACTAATAATTTGATTATTCTTTTCACAGGAGTAACAAACAAGGTTTTATTTATAATAACTAAACTAAAATTAAAGGACTAAAATAAATGTAAATAAACCCATTTTAACTGAAAATAATAAAAAGTAGGGCAGCATGGTGGCGCAGTGGGTAGCACAATCGCCTCACAGCAAGAAGGTCACTGGTTCGAGTCTCAGCTGGATCAATTGGCATTTCTGTGTGAAGTTTGCATGTTTTTCCCGTGTTTTGTGTGGGTTTCCTCTGGGTGCTCCGCTATCCCCCACAAGTCCAAAGCATGTTGTGTAAGTGAATTGGGTATGCTAAATTGTCCAAAGTGTGTGTAAATGAGTGTGTATGGATGTTTCCCAGTGATGGGTTGCAGCTGGAAGGGCATCCGCTGTGTAAAACATATGCTGGATAAGTTAGCGGGTCATTCTGCTGTGGTGACCCCAAATTAATAAAGGGACTAAGCTGAAGCTTAAAAGAGATAAGCCAACCAAAATAAATCTAATAATAAAAATAAACAAAATTAAATTAAATATATTTACGAATTTTTAAAATTATGAATAAACACACCAAAAGACAAACAAAACATAAATCAAAAATATATTTTTTATAAAATTAAAAACAAAACTAAATGAACCAAAATAAAATATTACACTAAATCAAACAAATCAGAAAATAACAGGCTAATAAAAACAACTAATAAAATATGACAAGATTTAAACAAACTAAAATAAATCATTAAAAAAATGTAAACAAACAAAACTGAATTGAATAAACAATATATATATATATATATATATATATATATATATATAAAACCAAACTAATTATGAAGAGACAAAATGAAAAAAACAAACTGAGGAACATTTCTTAGGAAACTACAAACATGAAACTAAATAAAGCAAAATAAAATGTTACACTCAAAACCAAACAAACAAAACAGAAATGAACAGGCTAAAATATAATTATTAAAATATCCAGATGACTTAAATTAACCTAAAAATTTAGTATTAAATGATAATTAGAATTGAGTTGAGCTCATTTTAAATACTTTGAACAAGCAGTAAAAGTCATTTTTTGAGTCAATGCAAGATAAAAAATTCTATTTTACCCTAATTACAAGATGTAAGTTAAGCCTTTGTTGTCTCCAGAATGTGTCTGTAAAGTTTTAGCTCAAAATACCCATCAGATTATTTATTATAGCCTCCAGAATCTGCCCATTTTGGTGTCTGAGTACAGTGTAGCTGTTTTTGTAGCCTGTGGCTTTAAATGCAAAAGAGCTGATTCTCCCAGCCTACTGTTTTCCTGTGTGTCTGTTTTTCCTGCGTTACGTCAGATAAACAGCAGTCAGTGATAAAGACAGACACAGACGAAACAGAAATACAGCTCATTAGTCAAAAATACCAAGTGTATTTCATGTATCTGTGATGGAGTTTACTCAAGCCTTTCTGAAAGGATGAGTCTCACACAAATGCTGTTTGCAGCACACACACACATATATTAGCATTTACTAACACCATGCGGCCATGGTGTTTAGATTGTTTAAGAATTACATGGCGAGTAAACTTTATTAGTCTTTATTACTTACATGCTCTGTTTTAAAAAACATTTAAGCTTATAGCAAATATTTTAGTCCCAGTTTCTAAGCAAAAAAATGTTCTGTGGATGTCTGTATACATGTTATCATAGAAACTTGTCGCCTGTCAATCAATTTGGTGGGCGGGGAAACCACTCCTACGTCATATTGCGGTCTCCCTCAACATCACTGGGTTTTGGATCCTATTTTAACGTCAGGAAATTTTAAAAGAGACTTGTTCTGTTTATATCACTCCAATATGACAGTGGACACACTATACCTACATACAGTTCTGTCCAAACAGCTTACAAAAGTTGATTTTCATCATAGGCGCCCTTTAATACAGGCATGCATATTCACAATACAAAGCCTGTGTGTGTTCAGAATCAAGCTTCTTATTCTGCAATAATGCTGAACAGTCTCTGGCCTGTCTCAATGAAGGCAAGGAGAAAGAAAATCCTCATAGGCTCCACTGTACAAATAAGGGCCCTTGCAGCCACATAACAGACATTGGTGCACTGTATATGCGTTGTTTCCTGGCCAGCCTTAGGCCCAGAAGATCTGAGGGCTTTTTCTGTCCACCCGCTTGTGGCTTGGGGCCAGTCAGGACACCCGTAGGCGGACGCTGCTTCCCTTGGCATGAACACAAATAGCAGGAGCCACAAGCACAGAGTCAGTTTCCAAAAACACACATACTGACTCAAAGAGAGAAAAACTGCTTTCACTCTCTATACAGCCAACATGAGCTGAGCTACACAGCAGAAGCGCATTAGAAACACCACACTGGAGGCTGAAGAGATACATTTTAATCACCGTGTTCTGTTCGTTCAGTTCTTTTGTATTAAATGTATTGCACAATAAATGCAAACTGAAGACATCGATTTTAATAGTCATCATGCTTTGTACTATGTTTGTAAACAGGCAAATGAGGCACTATTTAATTTAATATGTGCTCATTTGCACATTTGCATATATTTCAGCACAATAATGTGAAGATCAGGCCTTGTTTATTTATTTTACTCTTATTTTATTCTTGTTTATTTTTATATATATATTAGAGTCAAAGATGAGATTTTGCAATCTCCTTTTTTAATTCATCCAGAATTATATATACACACACACCACCTTATTATTTATTATTACACCTGTCCGACCACTCGTTAAAGGAAATTTTCTAATCAGCCAATCACATGGCAGCAACTCAGTGCATTTAGGCGTGTAGACATGGTCAAGACGATCTGCTGCAGTTCAATCCGAGCATCAGAATGGGGAAGAAATGTGATTGGTTGTTGGTGCCAGACCTATCTGAGTATTTCAGAATACTGGGGTGGGGTGGAATGGGGTGGAATTATGGATGTGCAACTGACAAATCTGCACCAACTGTGTAATGCTATCATGTCAATACGAACCAAAATCTCTGAGGATTATTTCCGGTACCTCGTTGAATCTATGACACAATGGATTAAGGCAACCTGGTACAAGTAAGGTGTACCTAATAGAGTGGCCGGTGACTGTACTGTATATATGTTAGATAAAATCAGTCAAATTATGTGAATGTGAATAATGTGACATTTATATGAACACATCGTATTGTTAATTAAAAAAAAAACTTCATTAAAAATTAAGTGCTGCAGAGGCGGAGATTTATAGCTCAAAAAACACATTTTAAAAAAGCCCCCTATAAGAAATATGTTTTGTGATTGAATTTTACAAAACCAAAACAGCTAAAGTGCTCTAAAAGAAACACTTAAAAGTGTACTTATGACGTTTTAGTCAAAAGATAATAATTTATGAAACACCAATCATTGACAGCAGCATGAATTAGCAGTGTTTTGAGCTGCATTCGCCTTAATTTACAGTAATCAACATTTGATGTGGATCAAAACCTCACAGTTTTAAAGCTATTGAACAACCTAATCATCTTAGAATGGTTGTAAAGTACTTTTCTGATTCACTTAAAATGTTGACTACTGTAGATCTGTGTGAAGCATCAACTAATAATTTAAAAAACTGCCTGTTGTTCCTCAGGTCACCACCAGATGCCACTGCAAGACCATAATGAGCCACAGTGTCTTTTGGTTCATCCACACACCGAGTGTCAATTTGATGCAACTGCAATCAGACAAAAGGCGCGATCTGAACACGTGCAGTCAGTTTCCTCGTGCCTCCATTACTGCATGACAAGTTAAAAGCCTGAACACTTCATTTCAGGAATACTAGCGAGAAGCACTCAAACAAAAGTCTACATATTTCTCTTAAAGAATATGATGCTATTCCTAAAAATTTCTGTGCCCATCACAGGTTTTTGAAAGAGCGTAATTGCGACTGTTTCACAACTGAACCCCCCCACCTGAGTTTTAATTTCTGATTTATATTATGATTTTTAACTCACAAATCAACAGGAAAAATTACAAATTTGCTAAGTATGAAAAGAATTTAGGGAAAAAAATAGGAACCATGAGAAATAAAGTTAAAATTGCAATGGAATAGTCAGATTTCCTCCTTTATATACAGCTGAAGTCAGAATTATTAGCCACCCTGTATATTTTCACTAGCCTCTGTTTAACGGAGAGATGTTTCAAGACATTTCTAAACAAAAAAGTTTTACTAACTAATTTCTAATAACTGATTTCTTTCAAACCGAGCATCAGAATGGGGAAGAAATGTGATTTAAGTGATATTGAATGTTGCATGGATCTGCTGGGATTTTCACACACAACCATTTCTAGGGTTAACAGAGAATGGTCCGAAAAAGAGAAAATATCACCAGAGGTTAGAGGAGAATGTCCTGACTGGTTTGAGCTGATAGAAAGGCAACAGTAACTAACTAAAATAACCAGCCGTTACAGCCGAGGTATGCAGAAGAGCATCTTTGAAAGCGCAACACATCGAACCTTGGGGCGGATGGGTTACAGCAGCAGAAAACCACACCGGTTGCCACTCCTGTCAGCTAACAACAGGAAACTGAGCTACAATTCGCACAGGCTCACCAAAATTGGACAATAGAAGACTGGAAAAATGTTGCCTTTTTTGGTTATCACCAGTCGTCATGATGATACACTAACAAAATGGCGACAATTGGGCATGCCCACTTGTAGCTTAATTTGCGCTGTAGCTGATGTCACATATACTACGTCCATGTTTTTTTACAGTCTATGGATATGTCATGATTATAAGGTTTGATGACAGTGTTATAAACACCCCTTCAAGTGAAGTTACCACATCTAACTT